GTATTATTTCAGCTACAAAACATTATATGACGTAATTAAGCAGCTCATATACCGAAGAAGAAAAACGAGCAAAGCTCAATACCACCCAAAGTTGGTGGTGCTAACCATGGTCATCTCAGAGCCAGAGTTTATATGGGAGAGGATGCCAGGAAAGTTAGTAATCACCTTCAACTGTGACCTCTGCATGCAGTAAAGTGAGAGTACACCACCATACCTTGAAATGAGAGTGCAGCCATAATTGGAACAATCAATAAAGAAATCAAAGTTACCATAATGTATATTCTACTTTTACATTTGGAAGATACAACTGTTTATGTAGCACATCATATATTACACACACACAACATGTGCCTCTCCCCAACATTAAAAGAATATTATTAAGGTTGCAAAATCAAGCACACAAAAGTTAGGAAATGTAATAATTAAGTCTGTGCAATCTTAATCCAGTCCCCTTATGCATATGCATTATGCTACAGTCTTTCATTATATGATCACATACTGTATTTTTAGTGGGTTCTCTACCATATAGTGCTCTACTAATGAGCAGTTATTCAAAAGCCATTTCCTTTCCATTTTTCAGTGTTTGGCTCCAGGCCTTAATGCACACTACTCAAATCCTACTCTGAAGACAGAATTATCATGGAAAGTTCTGTGCTGCTCATTACAATAATATCTGACCGTTTCACAAATATTAATGAATTTATTTTCATACCACCCCTCTGAGATGAGGGGGTGGCATCATACCTATTTCACAGGTTTCCCTCTCAATCCTCTTCCTCAGCTTTCAAAACAGGTGATTTCCTCCTTCCTGCTGCCCTACTCCCATTACAAGGGGCTTTCAGAACACTTGTGGGACTGGCTCCTATCTCTCTCCTTTGGTGCTTGGTTTGGTCTGCAGGAGTCCAGACCAGAGAAAATCCTGTTCCACTGTGGTGGTGGTAACAGCAGGGGAAACCCATATAGTATTCTTTGGTTAGGCAGAGATGATGCTGACGGTGCTGCAACCCACAGACCTCCCTGGTTGGGAGTGATGTGGTGAGACAGAACTTTCCCCTTCTTCCTTTGAACATCCACCTGAGTAGAGCTGGCTGATTTTCAGCACCACATTGATAGACTTGGGAGAAGAGAGTCCCTGGCCTGCCAGAAAATGAGATGAGGGTCTGTGGTCATGTTCTCCATAACTCACTGAAGTGCTGGGAACCACCGAAGCTTGGGCCAGCCTCTTCTGTTCTTGTCATATTACCAGAGAAGTATGCTAGCTACTAAGGCCTATTTCTGGCTGTCTGACTACTAGGAGCTTAGGTGCCCTGTCCTCTGGCCTAATATAAGAGTTTGAGTCAGGATCCAGAAAGATGGTTGTCAGCCCTCAACCTCCTGCTCATCATTGAGTTGTGACGATAGAACTCCTATCACAAGATTTACCTCCGCTGGGAAGTGCCTATGTTGGAGATCAGCTGCAAAGGTGGGTGTGGAGTGACAGGATTGAGCACTCTCCTCCCCAGCACTAGGGGGCACTACTAGTAGCTGCTGCTTACATTAAAAACTCCAGCTCTTCCTCCATCTGGAGTAGTCTTTTTTGTACAGATAGTTTGCTCTCCCTGTCTTCAGTGAAGTGACAGTGATGTTATCACACAATCATATGATATCCTGGTTATTTTTAAAACGTAATCCTTCTCTGGCTGCACAATTTGCCTCTGAAAGAGTGCAGTATTTTAATGTACCTATTATCTGCATGGGAGAAATATATATTTGGAGGCATAATATTTAGGCTGGAAGGTCTAAATCACAGTTTGTTATGAGCTTCTAATGCTTGTAGTTAACTCCATGCCTAATCCACTGTGAGATTAATAATGAAAAAACTGTATACTGCTATATAAGATTTTTTGCCATGCTGTTTTGGTTATAATGCTGAGTCGGATTGAGGAGGTAATCATCATAATGAAACATTCACTCACCCTTTCATCTATTTATGGAAATCTCTTGAAAATTGAACAAAAACATGCCTCCACAGCTATTCTGAATATCATTTGAACAGATCCATAATGCTCATGGCTTCATTCCATCATCTTTCCATCCCAACAGGATATGAAACATTCATTCATTGTGAATAGAGCCCTTTGAGATGGCAAAATATTTAAAAACTTAATGTAGCTGAATATTAAACAGCAGAACCCAAAACTGTAACAGCAACATAATTTTAAATAGTTCACTACGTGGAAAGCATCGAGAAAAAAATTACATGCATATATGTGGATTTTTAAATGAAATAACTTTTGATACACGTTGAAATTATTACAATATATCCTTTCATTTTTCTTCCTCACTACAATTTACAAACTAGAATACAAATTATCTTCATTGTAATAATAAATAAAAGAATCAGAGTTGAGAGGCTGAAGATAAAAATGCATTGAGGAGGAAATAGTATGCTTGATTGTTGAAGAAATGAGCTGACTAATGTATATTTTCTCATTACAGATAAAGCTGTGGTATGACAAGGTTGGTCATCAGTTGATAGTCACAATATTGGGAGCAAAGGACCTTCCTTCAAGGGAAGATGGGAGGCCAAGGAATCCTTATGTTAAAATTTATTTTCTTCCAGACAGAAGGTAGGGTCAAAGGAAAAGTGAGGGATATTTTAGTAGAAATAAGTTTAGTAGAAGTTAAACTAGATAGTCAGATAGCATGCAGAGTTGAGTAGAGATAGCTAGCTAATATTGGTCATATAGGAGATCCATATCTAAAGTAATCTTAAAGAATGGGATTTAGCGACTGAACATGTTATAAAACAGTGAAGAATAGGTTTTATATTTTCTTGAATACTATTTTCTATTGAATAGATTAACTTCAGTTGGATTATTTTTATCAAATATTGAGTGGCAAACGAAAAATAATCCTATCTGATTTTTACAAAGAGCTCTTTTTTGCAAATAGTATTGTTATCTCCTAGCATATTCCTGAGGATTAGATTCATGGAGTTCCTGACTGATAATTTCTTCAAAGACATTCATTGTCCGTCCATCCTCTGCCCCACAGCAAACAGGAATAGGGCTTGGCATCCAAAAACCATGGGTCTCAACTTGTGGTACTGTCACATTAATGCTGATAAAGACTCAAACCTGTGACATGCTGGGAACCCTCAGCTGTGATTGAAGGCCCAAGGTGGTATTGATATTAATTTATACCAATAATTTACATTGTATTTAGGGGGAGATGATGGTGTGATGGCCTTTTCCTCCCCTGCCCCTTAATTCTGTGAATGGAGTTGTTTCCATTTGTTTG